ACTTGATAGGAACTAGGAAAGATTTCACCATCGTTAATCGAAGAATCTAGCCAGGTTTCTGTCACGGCAATCACGTCATAATCATAAGATGACAATCGAGTCCTTAATTCTCTCTCTTTATTCACGATACTTCGAGCATTGAAAGACCAAAATGTCATCTTATCTTGTCGATCATCTACTGACTGTACAGGCCCAGGATTCAAGCTGACATCACCAGCTAATAGTATTAAATAAATAGCGGTTAGAGTTGATCTTGTTAGCAATATACCGCTTCGAAGCTTGCAACATGGCGTCAGCCTCCCTTCACACAAAGTGCGTGAGAGCCCTGAATTACGTCCAGGAAATGTTTTAGACTCCAATTTAAGTGCCAAAAACAAGTTACTATTACTACCAGTTGAGTTAAAACCCTCAACTGTACTCCAAAGTGTTGTAATAAGTAAAATTATTGAGATCGAGCAAGAGCTTCGATAAAGTTGACCACCCATGGTCAACCACCCATGTTGACCACCCATGCGTCAGGATCGTTGTGCAGATAAGATTTACCCACTAGAAGCGCTAAACCCAAACAACAATTTTTAACATTTGAAACGCCGATTTGAAAAACACCATGGCGAACTTCGCGACCATGTTTTAACGCCGGGTTATTTTTTTTACCGCTACCGGACTCTGTGGTGTTTTTACCAAAATATTTATACAATTTATTTTGTTTTGTTTTCTTTTTTACCCGTGACGTTTTATTACGCGAAACATAATTATTTGGAAAAATGTACAAACTGACGGTAGTATTCCAGCCATTATTTATAATCTCTTCTGCATTACTCTGCATGTGTTTCTCGAAAATATTAAAAAACATGTCGGTTGTAAAATCCGTTACGGTTAATACGCTTGTGGAAAAAGGGGTACGTGGGGCATTCGAGATAAAAAATCTTGCCTTATCCGTATTCGTCTGAGCATAATACAACATGGTATTTATTAAATAATCAAACACACAACGTAAATTTACCAAAAAATCTGGTAAACTCCCCATATGATTGCTACCTACATTTACATCGTATATATATTCAGTATAACCAAAACGTTCATGAGTGCGTATTTGACGCACCGAAAAGGCTTTTTTTGGGACGCTGACATTTTGATGTGATTGCACAAGTGCTGCTAATTCTATAAGGTCACGATCCTCTATATTGTAACTACGTTTTTCTTTATATAAAGTTTTTGTTTTCTTAACCATTTCAGCTAATCTATTTATTTGTGAGTGTTTATCATTTCTAGCGACGACCATTTGTGCAATTGCCTCAATATTTTGTTCCCGTTTTTCTCTATCTCGTTCGTTAAATAATTTCCTCACCAATTCAATGGTTCTCCTTTGGGTTGCCTCTCCGTCGGTACCCTTTTGTCTTTTATTTCCTCTATTCCCTTCTTCATCTCTCTGTCTTTTTTCACCACCCTTTGACGCCATTGAATACAACAACAATTTCTAACTTTTACGTCGTCGTTATCTTCCCCACCATCTGTAAAATCCATCGCAATATTATTACTTTCACGAATTTGCACCATATTACAATTAAATGTCACCCATGGTGTATCTTCACCACCTTTAAAACACTTTTGCCCCATTTCAATCACGCGTGTTGAACAAGCAGCATTCGAATCAAGAATGAGCGACAAATTTGAAATACATATCTCGGTACATGTACTAAATGAAGCGCACAAAGGTGATCATGATCTTTATAAAATAGGTTACGAGGTAACCGACGATGACAAATGCGTTATTTTTACACCTACCATATTTATAGAAGCTTTTGCATCTTTTACCAAAGATCAAGATCTTATATATAAGGTGGATCCGGACACGTTACGTCAGAGATTGCAGTTGTTTCAATCTGAATCAGCAGTGCCTTCCGATGTGGTGACTAAAATTGAAAATATAATAAAATATATCGAGCGACATTACGACGACGACTATATCGGTGTAACTATTGTATATGCCGAATAAAAACAGAAAAAATGAGTGGACGTTTTGTAACAAACTTAAGAAAAAAAAAATATCAACAACAACAAAGTATTCGAAAATCAAAACAATGTATTAGCGATACATTATTACAAAAACGATGTCGTAAACGAACAGCACATACACCAAAATGTTGGATACATTTAGCAAAACAAGATAATCTGCGAATTAAACCCTCCCAAATTCCGAATGCTGGAAAAGGGTTATTTAGCTGGAAAAAAACCATACCGTCTGGACGTGTAATTTCAAAATACACAGGACGACGTCGTACTCGTGAACAAATTGATAGAAAATATGGGAATAGCACTGCAAAATATGCCATATGTAAAAAAGGGTTGTGCGTCGATGCAAATCATACAACAGATGCTGCGGGTAGATTTGCAAATGATGCTAGAAATACACAATTTCGTTATAATAGTAGCATGCGTGGAAATCAAATGTTTCGCTTAAAATCCTCGCAACGTATCCCACCACATTCGGAAATTTTTGTTAACTACGGCGACGACTATTGGTTATAAAAACATTTGTAACTATTAAAAAACATTTCATATTTCTTAAAACCCACTACAGACAACAATGTCTCAAATACGTAGCAGTTGGGATCGAAAAATAAATCCGGGTATCAACCCATACGCGGGTAGACCACGGCGAATTCGAAGATACAATCAACGTGGTGGTACAACCGTGCCTAATCCTGGCGATCTATTACAACAAGCCGTTACAAACGCTGTGGTAAACGGAAAAAGATATGCGGCAAGACAATTAAAAAGAGCAAAACGTTATAAAGCAAGACAAAAACGTCAGCAGAAGAAACCTATCATAACCCAAGAAGGTGGTCGTGTACGTGTGGGTTTACGAAAACCTGTTAATCATATGCCTGTAGTCTATCAATATCATCAATAAAAACAATTACATACCTTTTATTGTTTTATTATATCTTTTTGTCTTGTATTATCACCGATGCATATAACGACGTGTTTTTATTATCTGTTTTTCCACCGATGCGTTATACGACGTGTTCTACAAGAGAATTACTTTTCTCGCATATAACCACCCGGGTTCTCTTTAGTTTTCAACCTCGTTCACGACTTGCTTTTTTACCCAATCGCTTACCACTACTAAACATTGATCCTATCACACCCCGTATTTATTTATTAATCGTCTCGAATACCTGTCAATCAATTCGTTTTTTTAAACTTTGCACGTTTATACGTGAATAAATGCAAACTGCAAATATTCATTGATTAATTGATTGATTGCCAGGTGTTAAAAAATCATATTTTATTTTTAAATTTTACACTACGCCATAATAGATGTTGTTGTACTGACAACATCATCACAACTAAAGATTAAAAACTACACAGATATATATATAATGTCAACATCCATATATGGTCATACTCGTTTTTTTCGCAGTTTCTTTTCTAGCATAAGTTTATATTTACATATTTGTCGTGCACCATTTAAGTTATCGTAACAAAAATCATCTCTCTCACACTCTGTATACCGGGCCAATGCTTTAATATAAGGTTTCATATAACGTACTTCATTTTCCGTTTTTCGCCCACCAAACCCGATTGGTGTATTGGAACATCGTGTTTCTTTGTAATGTAAACCGTAACATTCGCACAGCACCCACAACCGCATCAATATTAGTACAATGGGTCTTTTCACTGTAAGCAACGCTGCTAAATAAATACGTTCACTTGAGAACATCTGACGTACCGTTCTAGGGCTGACCCGTTCCTTAAATTGTAGAACCCCATAGAGTTTCAAACTCCATCTCTCCGTAGTCTTTCTTATACCATACTCCTGTCTTTCACCATACCACAAGCTATTGGGTATGTCAACGTAACGATAATAGGTCAATTCTCCATTTTCTAACATTTTTTTCAAAACTTCTACGACTCTAAATTCATTAGCAAACGTTTCAAAATAATGTGTTTTAGTTGACGTTGCCATTATGTAACAATTGCCAAAACAATATCTTCGTTTTGTTGTATGGTTAATTTGCCAAACTTTAAAAAATGAATAAAATCCTCACAATCGCGTTCTTTTAAATGACACACATTAAAGAACAGTGCAAATCGAAGCAAATTATATGATGACCTTATAAGGGCATACCCCATTATTATACCGTCATATTTTAATACATACAAACTTTTTAATTGTAGCAGCTGATAAAATAGTTGTTTAAAATCAAACATGTTTTATAGCATAAGTATTCATAAAAGCGTCCACATAATCGCAGCCTGTGTTGAGCTGTCCATCTATAACACCGTAATAAGCTTTAGCCGCTAAACTATCAAAATCCGCATCTAATATATATCGGAAAATGGGTAATCCAAGATAGTTATACCCGTCACAATCTAACTCATCATGTGAGGGAAATGGGTGATTTTCCACACTTTGATCTAATAGAGTTAAAAAATCTTCAAGATACCTAATACAATTTTTACATACTACTATATGTGCAAGATATTTACGAATAAACATACCCTTCTTCTTTATTACAGTATATATTACGGTTGTTGTTGATTCTTCACGGGACACTTCTTTATGATAGTAATTCAAATTTTCCTCGTTACAATCAAGTGCCATCAGCATTTCCCCCATATTTACATACAACCCTGTAGCAAAATGTCGCATGATACTCTTTAATCCCACATACAAGTGTGTGGCGGCAAACACTTCAATCTCCGAACTATCTTCATCACAATCTCCCGAACCGACATGAAAATAATGTTTGTCTACATAATACTTATTGGATATTGTTAAAGACTGGCAACGTACCAGTTGTGTCTTTGAACGTACCAAGATTTCGCGACAACAAAACTCGAATGGCTTTAGTACAAACAGACCGTCCTCACGAACAGCCAGTCGTGGAATCCATTCCACGGGTATACTGTACAGTTGTTTGCCGCTAACATTTTCTACATCAATGCCGACGACAGCCATACGCGGGTGTTTAGCCCACAACAAATCTGGTGTATTAGGGTTGTCGCTTTTCACCGTTTCGCCATCATTTGTTTCATCATCTACAGCGATGAAATCGCGTATCGTGTCGAAACCCCCTTTCAACCAAAACCCTTCAACTTTTACATAATCATTTATTTTTCTTTCTGCAACATCATGTGGTGGTTTATAGTGTCGTAAATATCTACAGGTCGAATACAAATTCCATAATGTTGGGTTATAGGGTTGTTTCATTAGAAGGTACGATAATGCTTCTAGTATAACCGACATCCTTACAAGATCGAATACACAAAATTTGCGAACATTTTTACCTCATGTTTTGAACAGTGATAATGGTTACCCAGGTGATAAGGACAACATTCTTGTGGTTGACCAAATATGGTCAACAGATCTATATATTTTGGACATGTCAATATTTCAAGATTAATGCAACGAACACCCAGACTATTTAACAAAATACGTTCGATATCACCACCTTTATAAGCCACTAAATCAGCATTACACATAAATTCATCTGTTAAAAATGCTATCGATTCTTTCAATGTATAAAAATCATCGGTTAAACGTTTGCGTACAATCGGTAACCCATGAATTTTCTTTATTTGATAGTCAATTGTATAGTTGTATTCATTAAACGGTACAAATGGCATAAACACTTGAAACGACGAACACTCGCCGGTCTTTACCCGATAAACCGATATTTCACGAAGAAATGTTTTTTTCTTATTCATATATGCTTCGCAATCAATCACGTGCGTAATACGTAACGCTATTTCTTTTTTGTTTTTTTCAACCATAGCCGCTTCCTCGTACGACATCTGATTATGCTTTCTCTGAAATAACCCCTCCATACCCACATAATATGAATAGACAACTAACACACTCTTTTTTTTATTTTCTCTTTTTATTAAAAATCTAACATTATATGTTGACAGTGTAAACTTACAAAATGCAAATTTGTCTTTTTACATACACAACAATTATTCATAATGGAACACAAACACTTGCGACTATCTAACCAATACATATTTTTTAACATTTCCTTTACTATATCATGCATTCCCCGTATGAAATCCGGAGACACTACAGTATTATATATCCTAGCTATATTTATACGCATTTTATGAATATATTCCTCATAATCTACGTTCAATGAAAATGTAATATGCTCTCTAACATATTTCACAATGTTTTTTACAACCGTCTCATACCTAGTAATTAAAAAATTGTTAACAATCACAGATTCAACACATCGTTGAACACCCAAACTTTGAACACCCATCGTCTCATACAATACATGTCCGCTACTATTTATAGTTGGAAGATATTTTAGATCATACGACATATGTATATGTGCAAAACCGTCTAATGTTCGAAATGTCAGTCGATACATGTAACCATGATGCGATTTATGGATTTCCGTTATATATAACCAATACAGAACATTTGAATATAGTTGATCATAGGCAAATAACGACATGTATCCCAGAACACTGTGTCTACTCTTAAAGTTACATGTTTCCAAATAATGATATAATATCCAACCATATTTATCTCGAGGTGGTAAAGTACACCGCATCACTAACCAATAGTCCTGCGTCTTTAAAGTACAATTTTCTACATCTAACTATATCACGTTTGGTATACAATCCACAATGACAAATTTGGTCGTTTCGTGTACAACCACAATTCTTAATTATCCAATCCTGTACAAGATGAACCAATTTCTGATGATATATCATAATCTGTGTCAAACGTTTTGATACACACATCCCATGCTGCTTTTCAAACTCGACGGCCACTGTCCGATAATCTGTCTGATAATTTTCACTTATATATGTAATCAAAGTATCTACCACACCAGCAACAAAATCTTTTGCTTCGCTAACTGTTAATTGCTCTTCACTGACATAATCAATATCAAAACCAATACTATCAAACGTCACGGAAGGTAAATATATAGGTGTAACTTTAAACTCAGGTTGCGGTTTGAACGTTTCAGGATAGATGCGGTAATCAATCTCCAATTCGGCATAAATCCCAAACAACCAGTGTACGACTCCAATAGTTATATAGCGATCACCGTTGTCACATTTGGTCACAGCTATAAGGTAAATATAAAAACTGGGTATTGTTCGCATAACACCGTCTGTAATTACAGTCGGCCATAAACGACCACCCGCTAACTGTATCTTTTGCTCTCGACCCACACGTAAATAAAAATCGAAAAACTTGTAATCGCTAGCTATAATCTGTAATACTGTCAGCGGTTCATCGTCAAGAACTGTATCACAAGGTAGCTGAACAACAATATCTTTTATTTCATCTGAACTACAACGTAAAAAAAAAAAAGTTTTTATTTTTGTGGAACAGCTTTACCCCTGTGATCCAATTCAAAAAGAATCGGTCGCGATGTGTCGCGCTTATAATATTCCACTTGTTCTTTTATTAAACCTCCACTAACTATTACACCTGGACAATGTGTGAAAATATTTATGCAAATTTGTTCCAAACTACACTTGCTAGCATCCTTATAAAATTGTTGTACAGCGTTATAACATTCTTCATGAAAAACACCACATAAACTACCATAGAAACCCGGAAAATAAAACTGTATATCATAATGACCATTCCTTTCTCGAGAATTATATTTTAATTCCATTACGGACTCTCTTATAGGACAACGTTGATTCTGATATACAACCCTCATATAACAATGTCTACGATCCATAGCCGGACTAACATACGCACAAGTATTACGAAAAACATAACCCCTATGATAAATATCAATACTCTCGGGTTTATTCCAATTTTTCAATTGGTGAAATAACGTTTCGCAAAAGTGATCATACCTCGACATATTCATCTGTACAGCTATATGTCTGCATCAACACCTCTTCTATATCTTTTATAGATACATCCGAATAATAAATTATAAATAAATACAATAAAAACGCTAATAACAACAATGATAGTAAAAGCTTACAACCAAAACTCATTTCACTGTAAAATATATAGTGTAAGCCATTTAAAACCACTCTTATAAGAACCTTCATCACACTACATATGAACTATTAACTAACGTGTACATATATGGGCATACCGTATATATGTAGTGATACACCTTTTCTCTTTCACATTTATCCGTTGCTACACGATAATAAACACATGTAAACATCGTATATCCACACAACCATATATAGTCATAGACCTTTCCTTTCACATTTACCCGTTGCTAGGTACTAATAAACACATATAAACATATTTTAATTCTTGCAAACTCTGCTGTCCAAATATGGTCACAAGGTTAAAAACGCCCTGACCATATTTAGACACATCGTTTACACTTGAAACCTTGCGAATATAATTTTAACACATTTCACTACAACTACTCGTACACGAAACAGTATAAATCCTACATCTGCTAAAAAATGGATACAAATTTCTGCAAATTTCTCGAACTGTCGGGAGTAACCGTTTCCGATGACACAAATCTAACGCCGCTACTTGCAGACTACTGGAGTTTTACAGCATTCGCCGCACAATATCCAAATAATATTTACGAGTTAAATTTTATAAAATGGCAGCTGAACGGCAAGATCAAAACGGCAACACCTTCTCACAACAATACGCCACAATATCAAACTCCAAAACGGCAACTTCTCACAACAACGCCACAATATCAAACTCCACCGCAGCAAGTAAATACAACGCCACAATATCAAACTCCACCGCAGCAAGTAAATACAACGCCACAATATCAAACTCCACCGCAGCAAGTAAATACAACGCCACAATATCAAACTCCACCACAGCAAGTAAATCCCTACCCTCACCTACATCGGTATCCAACCCAAATAAAGTTTTAACAGCAGACTTCCCTCCACTACCCGTTAAACTTGCAAAGTTAAAGAAACATGTTAACATTGTCGAAGGGCAGTTTAACGCATTCACTCTTGAAACACCACAAAACCCTGAAGCAGCCAACGAGACCATTGTCATTGACGAGAAATGCGATACAGTCGACACTGATGGCAAAACAATTGACATCGAACCAGCATTTCCCTCACTCACCTCATACCTTGAAGATTTTATGTCTGCCAGCGAGGAAACACAAATACCGCAGGTATATACGACACCGGTTAAAGTAATTCATCGGGGTAAAGATATTACAGCAGCAAGGAAAAAATTCGACGAAGAAGAACAAGAAACCGAAACGGAAAAAAAAGAGAGAAAAACCCCGGCACGAAAACGAAAGCGGGAATGCGGTCGTCCCACAAACGACCAGCAACTTGTACGTATGGATGAGGATTTTAACGACATGGTTGCTTTACAATTGACACGTCGGCAACTAACCCTACCCGATACGCGTGGCAAATGCAAAAAGTCAAGAAAAATTCTAACCAAAATACCCGAAGATATAATTGTAAATACAACCCGTGAATTTCAAACCTACGAACTGTTTGCAGATACACGTACAGAAGCACTGAAAATCATTCAAGACAAACGTGAACTTTTGGAAAAAATTAACGCTGCAGAATATGTATTACATACATTATTAAAAAAACGAAATAATAGTGACTCTAGCTCATGACATTTTTTGATTACAACATTATATACTTTTTTAATAACTTTTTTTCTGTAAATATTATTAATAAAAATTGATTTTGTATAAAACATTGATAATTTACAATTGTTATATTGAAAAACATTACTGGCATTTTTTAAAAAACTAAAAAACGCTATTAAATATTAATATATATTGATATTTTGATTAAAAAAATACAATATTTATTAATTGTTGTTTGAAAAACACAAGAAAAGCAATATTTTTAAAAGGAAACATCGAAATTCACTAGTGACACATGGTAGCACGATGGAAAATTCATGACGTCACAGCTTACGCACTTTGAAAAACGGCGGCAAATTCGAATGAACGTCACTTCGGTCGACCACGGCTTTGGGTTCGGAGCTCCCCCACGCATGCGCGCACGTGACGCACACAAAAACCACCTGTCAATCACAAAAACACGGTAAGCGTTAGTCCTAAATCGGGAACGCCCCCTTTAAATTATCCCCCCCGTCCGTACAGTCAGCGGATGTTGCCTTTGACGCCCGCGATACTTTCACTTTCCATTCAAAGCTCCAGTTAAATGAAGTAGGTTCACACTCCCCCTTTTTTTTTGGTTTTCCTATTACTATTACTATTACCCTAAACAACCTTAAAGAAAATCAAATTAAGATGAAAACAACACTAAAAAGCCTCACGACCCACAAAACAGATGGAATGCTACCCAACAGCTTAAACAAAATAACAGACTGCCACACCATACTAGACAAAGACCTCTGAAAACGCTTGGTGCAAGCATCCAGAGATGCCACCTACAAACAACTCGACATCTTACTAGAACAACAAAAACGGAAACTTACAAATATAGAAACAAAAATAAGACACCACAAAATGAATAAAGGACAACATAACTGACGTTACAAAAACAACAGAAATACTAAAAGGAACAGACGAAATAAGCCAATGTTTCTCAGCAAGATGGATGTCAAAACACGGCACCCGCCACTACAAACCAAACAAAAACATTAAAAGACTTAAAGGCAAACAACAAGACAGCAACAATAAACAAACACATACTACCACTACAAAAACTCTACACCAATACAGGCACATACTGCACAGCACACTACGGGAAACATACATACACCCAAACAAAACATGGCAACATATTGCTCTAACTTTATGACCACATTTAACAGACTGCACATTCTTCGCCCAAGATGTCCCTGACACCCACAACAACACAATCAAACTTTCTTCATAGATTCAACACACAAACACTTCCAACAATACCAATTAACCCACTATTACAACAAACTTGATACCCACTGATACCAACAGCTACATCTACACCAACCAGACCGAGAACAAACACCATAACACACCCATTACTATCAAATCACATCCAATAACAAATTCATAACTTTATCCAACCAAGACACATCCTGGACTATCTTCAGGACAAACAAAGGACCAACAACAACAGAAAATAACAATAACCAAACCAAAACTACTAGCATATCTACAGAACAAACGAAACCAAAATGGGAACAGACACAAAACAAAAAAACAAATACTCAGTAAAATCCAAAAACAAAAGGCAGGGGATAATATAATTAACTTATCAAATTGACATGTCTCAGATGCTACTAAAAGCATACTTAACAAGGGACTTAAATTTGTCCCAAACCTAAACCCATTGGCTACCAATCTGTATACACATACCTACAATACCGAAGAAACATGTACCTTCAATACCATTACAGACTCTCGAACAACAATCATATAAGACATCCATTCAAAGTAAAAAGTGGCTTCACACCACTGCTACCAGACAATGCTAACCTTCTGGAATACATGTCTTGCATTTTACTCGAACTCAAAACCTCTCACAGGCAAAACAAAGACAATAAAACCACTAGGCTAAATAACAATGTCTCTAATGCAGAAAAACAGGCTGTAAAGAACCTTCACAACAGCGAACAAATTATAGTCAAACCCGCCGACAACGGGGGCACTATAGTTATCTGGCCCAGAGAATCTTATATAGCGCAGGCGACTAAACGACAAACGAAACTACAAACTTATCGAAACGGACCCATTCCCACACCTGGTTACTAAATTGAACAAGATAGTGAAAACATTTTTCACAGATCAACTTATTGACTACACAACATTTAAATTTCTATCTATTGATAAACCAATTAGGAAGCCGACATTATACCTGCTTTCTAAAGACCTAGTAGACCAATTATCTTAGGATGTGTCCCACCGTCAGATTATCAGAGTATGTAGATGTTTATCTAAAACCACTTGTACAATACATCCCATCCCATATCAAGGACTCTACAGACTTTCTTAAACATATTTTGAAACTAAACGAACATTACCAAATGACTTTAGACCAATCACAATTGATGTTAAAAGTCTGTATATGAATATTCCCAACCATGAGGGAATTGACGCTTCCACTAAACACCTTAAGGTTACTCCACATGATGGAAACCCATTTCACCAAAATGCTCACCGCGCGCTCAATTTTCAAGTTTTCCCCTTCAAATTTCGCATGCATAATAATAAATCATTGCTTTAGCTAACAACAATTTGCTACAAAATTCTACATCTTTAAAAACTATACTTGCTACGGGTTGCTTTTGAAAATATGACGGCCTTTGTGCCGCAAGATTAGAACACTTCTGATTTACCTCAAAGGCTTCCGAAACATAATATTTCCCATCTCAAATAATCAAAGAACAAAACCGTGTTCGCGTTTTTTGACAGGTATTGTATTTGCTTTGATATAAAGCAGAGAAGTTGACTCATGTAAATTTTGGGAGAACGGCAGAACAGATGCCTATAACTTGAAAAGTATGGCACTAAATAAAAAACGGGAACACGGTTTTGCTCTTGTTCAACATTGTGGCAAAGTTTGGAGGGAATCGGATAAAACGTGCGTGTTTCTAAACTATTTTTGTGTGGACAATCTGAGAATATTTCGATCTCCATAAAAGACGATAAAAGAGTTCGCGGGGTTTTTCCGTTATGTGTTTCCGCCCTCTGTTATCACCTCAAACTGTACTCGGATTAAAAATTATTAAAGTGTTTTTGGTAAGATTTTTCGGTGTCATTTACTCGTCCGTTTATCACAACACGTGCAAGAGACCAGACACAAAAACTTGGAAATATGCCGGCAAAACGTAAATGTAGAGAAAGCAAAGCTACAGAGGCATCTAAATTGTGCAAGCGAGCTAGCTCGGGTTTCCGGGCTAGCTCCCTGAGTGAGCTCGCCTCCATATAAACTCCCCCTAATTACATTTTTTTAAAAATTTTCAACAGCAAAAGAACATTGGAGGAGAAGACGCCAAATATGGTTTTCCATGTCAAGTGCTAGACTTTATTAGGCACATTGCTCCAGGTGATGTGAAAGGTGAAATTAGAGAGGTAAACATATTGTTCGACATGTTTTATATCAATGTAAATCTGTATAAGTTATTGTAAAATTGATTAGCTTTAACCTCGCACTTTTAGCTTTGTGGAAATGTCTCGGACAAAACATCTATATATAATCATGACGGAAATGTACCATGCAGTTACTGTGTCCGTGCTATATTACATATATATTTGGCTGGCGTAGCACATATACGGGCTAAAAAGATTTCTTGGATATGGATATTCAACTACTCAGTGTTATTATTTTATCTTTGTCACTTGATCTTGTACTTGTATTTTTAATTTATTAGAATTCGATTTCCTCTAGCCTACCTATACATGTTTCAAAATAATTCACGACGCTTTAGGATTTATTTTATAGGATGCATTCCCTGTTACTCTGAAAGTTTTCTGCGAAGTAATGAATTTGCCACATGCATAAAATATTGTATTTGTATTTGTATTTTATAATTAAAAATTGTATACATTCATCATTAACTTTACATATAGTACAAAATAATTAGATATAATTATTGAAATGTTTGTGTTTTTACAATGTTCTCCTAGTACCCAGGTAGTGTTAATTACAGATAAAAAGTATTTTACTCCAAATATAGTGTGGATTCTATTATACATTCATAATATAATTTCAATGTACCATACACCTTCCATAATAGACCTTTCCCCTTATGAGTGAAATTTTGATCTAGACAAGTCTGGACAAAACTTTCATCACAGCTTGAAAGAGCATCACAAAATTAGTAATAGTCCAAAGTTTCATTGCAAAATGTTGTAAAATGCGGATAATATGGCCTTGCGAAGTTTGCCGTTTTTCAGTCATTTTGCATTACAAATGGAATTGTAATCAGATGATCAAACTGATTATCAATTTCCATTTGTAATGCAAAATGACTGAAAAACGGCAAACTTCGCAAGGCTATATTATCCGCATTTTACAACATTTCACAACGAAACTTTGGAATATTACTAATTTTGTGATGCTCTTTCAAGCTGTGATGAAATTTTTGTCCAGACTTGTCTAGATCAAAGTTTCACTCAAAAGGGGAAATGTCTATTAGCATCACCTTAGTATATATATACACATCATAAACTTGCGGTTAGAGCTCGACAACTTTTGTCGAGCTGTAATCGCAAGTTCAACTCCATATACTGTTGATACATATTTACTGTATTCTTTAGCTCAGTTGGTTAGAGCGCTGCACCGGGACACAGTGACGCAGGTTTGATTCCTGCCAGTGGACTATCGTAAGATTCATAACTACTCTTGGTTAGGTTTAATAAATGCATAATCTGTTTTTATATTGTGTTCTAATCTTTATTCTAGTTCTTTTTACGTTTTCTCTTTGTTTTGCTTTTTTTGTTTTCCTTTGCTGTTGCTGCAGCTGGCACACTTTTCCGACCATCACCATAGAATTCTTGTGACTTGTACTGAATCCCCTCTTTATGCACAAATGCATCAGCTTCGTTTGCCCTTTGCCTTTTATATTTCTTTCTTCGTTCCTTAACAGCTGATTTCTCTTTGTACTCTGCTGTGTCTATTCTTTTCTTATCCACTTTCTTCCATTCATTCACCATTTTCTCATCAACATCCAACCCTATCTTTGGCAGCAATTGCGAGTATGTAATTTCCATTCCACTGTTGAACAACAAACAGCCAAGACTAACAGCTAAGCTTGTTTCGCGGGGAGATGTGTACTGCTCTTTAGGGGCAAGCCCCCAAATAACATGATGTAAAGACTCATTTGGGTTTTGAGTTGCACATCTTTCACAACCAGCAAGAAAGTTGGCATCACCCAAACGATCGAAAACTGGTTTGATCACTTCGATAATGGCAGGGGGGGAACGGACTCTTTACAGGTTTGTGGAATGTTGTATTATTGGCGACATCCCTTTGGTATGAGCACCACGAATCCTTCCCAACTGGACAGAAGGTATGCTGGGGGTTCTCCTCGGTACTGGCATAATGATACATTATAGCTTTGGTAGCCTTAGCCGTTGCCTTTGAATCGCCTTTATTTTGGCGAATACATAGGCTGTAAAAACTTTGGATAGCATCGATCCGGGCTATGGTCAATCTACCAGCACCACTCAAACCCTTCCCATTATGCATGTTTTTTTCCTTATAAATGAAAATAGAATAAATATATAAATGTTGAAACTATTTCTTTATGACGTTACGTGCACTGAGATTAGGCTATTCAAGACGAGTTAACTTTTTATTTATACGACATATGTAGTGTCGTTTGCAATCAACCGTAAAACGCACACTATTTTTCGCGTTTGTTTATTTTGAAACATACATGTTTGGTGGGTAAAACATGCATGTTTGATCTATGAAATGACTCAGTACATCTTACGATTTGAGAAACTGCAGTTCATTTCAAAGTTCAAACTGTATCGTTAGTGCTGTCATAAAAGTGCATGCCTGATCTCAACATCGGCATATGTGCATGTTTCAAACGAAAACAGAATATGCGCGTTTTTAGGTTGACAGTATAAGTGTGCAATATTTACCTTTATAGTCACGGACAGACAAGTGATCTCAAATTTGTTCCCATTCTTTTGGTTACATGAGCTATACAATCAACTTTTGGAATAAATATTGCTTCTCCATATGGTCTCTCTATGCAAACTCCATTGTAGGAGGAGGAATCGCCATCACCAATAAATGAAATGTACCATAACTTCCGCTTCTCAATTGATCTCCTATATAGTTGCAATACCCCTGATGATTCCATAGCCTAAAATTATATTGGGCAAAACATTTAATCATAAAGCTAGCAGATTTTAAGTACATATATATATATATAGTTACAAGTAATGTATACTATAATAAAAGTAGAATTTCTGTACCTGCGCACTCCCCTCGTGATTGAGCAGACAATTCGGCTCGTGGGCGATATACCAAGATAGGTAATCCAATCGACCTAATTCTCCCCTTGCTCTCTTTCCTTCTATTTCTTTACACTGTTTACATTCTCTCGTCAAGTACACCACGTCCAAAACTTTCCCTGTGTCTTCCGAGACAGCAGCAACGAGACCATCTCGTGCGGACCAACCTCGCGAACTCCATGAACAGTCAAAACTCGCACCAACATCAACAACTTTTTCTACCAATTCCTGGTCTGCACAATCTGCAACTTCACCTACTGTTCTTTTAAGTTGTTTCAGTTGCAAGGCTGCCTGGTTGAAATCAATCTCAGTTAGGTCTTTTACTTTCTCTTCAATGAGTGTTGTATGTTTATCCCATGTGTAGACCGGTGACAAACCGAGAAAACTAAAACATTTTTGCGCTGCAGATCATCCTTTCCCGATAGCCAGAAAACCAACAACTGAAGCACGGTTAACATCATATATCTTAACAGACTTGGGCGAAATTGGAAAAGACTGGCTCGACTCTCGCGACACACAACATTCATTTGTACAACAAAAGTTCCATTTGGCTCCAAGACCTTGTTTCGATCCTACCTTTCCACAATATGTAGGGAACAGTAGCAAAGTTTGCAAACAGCAGAAGTTTCCAGCATTTGCCCCAAACTGTCAACATTAACAACATAGTTCCCTGTGGGTTTCAAAAAGACAGAACATTCTTCGTGGTCTTCGTCGTCGTCACTGCTATTAAAAGGTGATTCAGAACTAGATGATTCTGTAGCGCTGCTATTTTCAAGAAACGATTTCATGCTTTCTTCTAGCTTCCTCTTACTTGCGCTCGGTTTTTTTTCTGATCCTTTACTTTCAAAGGCATGATGACCGCGTACTTATACCACTTATGACTCAAGAAAAATCGCTTTATAGAGAGAAAATTTTGCTGTGTTACTGTTGTACAAACTACAAAGTTATATAATCCTGATTTAACCTTACACCAAAGGTCCTTACGCCTAACACAAGCCACTTCACAATATGGACAGACATCCGGTATTGATTATCACATCTACCCACACATTGTCAATTACAATTACAAGTTTCGTGGGAAAAATATTAGTGGTTATAACATTTTTAGTTATATCTCGGTCGCATTTTAATATTTTCGAAAAAAACTTTCGGCAATCGAGAGATCTTCTGCCCCTTGACATAAATAAATAAAAATGTAAAAAATGATGAAATCAGGGTTTTCATCATATAATGTAACCTTAACAATCACGACACTACAGGGGTCAACATACAAATGATCCAAAGCATGCTTGAACTAATAGTTGAAAACAACTACTTTGAATTCACTGGAGGAAGAAATCCTTAAGAATGCACCAGAAGGTTCGACTCATTGAACTAAAAATAACTGGAACGCCACGTTCAAGCAGAAGTTTGAAACTAAATTATACAAGGTTGTACACAGCTTTAAAAGGCCCATTTTAAAATAAAACACCTGTTTCCCTTTCGATTTGCATCTTGCCATGAAAACATTCAAAATGGCATGCTTCGATCGCCCCCTGCATTGTCTCACGAGTAAATCGCACGGTAGAAACACGCATGGAAGTGTGTGTCTGAGAGTCAAAACTGGCTTCACAATTTGCATGTGCAGTTTACTGAACGTAGTGTTCTAGTTATTTTTAGTTCAATGGTTTGACTCCTCTTGAGTGGATCAGATTTCTGGATGACATTTTCGCTATATGGTGCCACAATGAAGCATCCTTAATTAGATTTCTTCAATACATGAACAAACTACACACAACCATCACATTCGAATACGAATACTCTACTAAGACTGTACATTTTTTGGACACAAGAATTTATGTCAATGAACAAAACAAACTAGCATCAGAGGTATACACCAACAGACAAGACAATGTTACTACATAACACCTCTTTTTCACCCGAACACATGTAAACAATGCATAATTTACAGCCAGGCGCTATGCTACAGACAAATCATCACAGTTGACAATATTGACAATGCCTTTGACAAGGATACACAGAACACACAAAAACAACTACTTTACAACAACAAAGCAAACAAAACTGAAACTCGACCAACGTTTAGAGTTCCTTTCAATACTAACACAACGCATATTGGCCAAATCTTAACTCATTGTCATCCGGTCATATTACATATTCAGACTTTGGAGAGGAGAAAATTGAAAATATTCTCAGCAAGTATTTACCCCCTTTAAAACGAAAACCACCGTTGAAATCCTCAAAATAATCTTTCGAACAGGGGGTCAAATGCCATCATAACATTACCCACAAACCAAAATAATCGTATATTTAAAAATATCGGGTTTTTACTTGCACACATGTGCCACAATATTTAGAGGTCCTATTACCTATCACAAAATTAAAATATAACTTATTATTCGCTATGATCTGGCGGAGGAAAAGGGAAATTATTATATTATATCTGTTACAAAATTACAAAACACAACAACACACACTACATGACACACTATATTAAAACTAAATTTTGTCAGAATGAGGAAATTATGTAGGTAAATGTTCATAGTTCAACATATGTTACACACATATTTAATAAAATTAAAGAACCATTAGATCTTAATATCTTTTTTTATAGAGTTCCAAACTGTTAGACCTTAATGAAACCTGATATTAAACTTTCCAAAATTAGTTCTCACTTTAGGAATATAATAAGATTGTTTTGCACCAAGCCTTGTATTATAATTATGAACATGATTAATATCAATGAAGAAATTATCAAAGACTGATGGGAGGAGGTGATGATGAAATTTATGCATAAATATCGCTATGTGCAAAGTAACAAGATCAAATAATTTTATAAAGTTTAAACCCTTGAATATTGGGCTGGAATGATCATCAAAATTAGCAAATGTTATTATTCAAACTGCTTTTTTTTTCAATATATCCAATGAATTGAGAGTTGTTTGATAGGTATTTCCCCAAACAATTATCCCATAAGTTAGAAAGGGATAAATCAAAGTATAATACATTGTTTTAAGAATATGAATACTTACAAAATGATGTAATTTATATAAAATGCCAACACTTCTTTTAACTTTTTTACAAATATGGTCAACATAATTTTTCTAACTTTTAATAGGTTTGAATCAACATATAAGCCCAAATATTTTATATAAGAGCCATGTTTCAAATTAACATTGCAATTGTTAGAGCAACATCTGGTGTAATTCGTTTTTTATATGGATGAAATGTTATTGATTACAATTCGACTGGGCTTTGTAATCATTTATTTAAAGTAGCGAATGAAACATTATTTTTTGAAACTGTTAACAACTTTAATTACTATGCTTGTGATGTTACTCTGAGTACATAACACCAACACAGAAAAAAACTTTAATTACGCCTTAGGCTTAGACCTTTTGAATGAACTTTGGGAGAATTGGTAAAATTACCGGCGGATCCAGGGGGTATCGAGCGTAGCTCGAGATACGGTCAGATTATTCCGATTATGGATAGTAAAATAGTTTTGGGGAAATTAATATATTTTCACCATTAATATATTTTTACGCAATTAATTTCTGTGTACAAAAAATAATGAAAATTGGAGATTACTAAGATGAAAGATGGCAAATTCTTTCGCAAATTCACGGCTCTAAATGTAACATTAGTCGCGTTTTTAAAGCATTTAATGATTTTCGACGAAGATGAACCAAGGGCTTTCCGAAGGCATACGCCGAGGATTAAAAATTTTTTTGATGCGTCTGCGGTGTTCTGATACGGTCCGTGGTTCAGATGTTACTAAAAATAGTAACTTAATGAGGCATTTGGATACCTTTGAAGGTATCCAGCCAATCACAGGTTGTGTATCTGTGACGTGAGATACCCTCTGATACAGTGGCTGTGTTTTGATTGCGCAAGAAACGAAATTCAGCTCATATTGCTAACAACCGCATTCTTCTAGTGTCTTGTGAGCAATGGCCTTACAATCAGAAAACGTCCTTAAAAATTTAGGTCATATTTTTGACCAGCTTAAGTTTAAAGACAATATTTCGAGTGAACTTTCAGATCTGAAACAGTTGTGTGAGAAGTTACTTGTCGAGAAGAGGCAACGATCGAAGTTGGAACGCCAGAATATTCGCGTCGGTGTGTGTGCTTTCTCAAAGCTGCAGTTTCCGAAGAGCCAAAGTGCATAGATGTGCGCATCATGTTCCTGTAAGGTATGAATCAATATTAATTATAAGTGCTGTGACTTCGTCTTGAATATATCTAGTTAACGTTAAGGTTTTGCGTTGAATGAAAATTGTATACGTAAATTACGTAAATTTGAATAGATTTTATTTAATATTGAGTTCGATCACTGAAGTGAAGACAGTGCCTTCAGAGACTCACACAGACAATCCTTTTTATTTTTAATTGATTATTTTATTTTACACCTCCAATTTGTCATGGATAGGATTGTCATTTTGTTGCTTTTTAATAGATCGGTTATCCATCAATTAATATAACAACAAAAGTATATTTTTTAAATTATACTCCTGTCTTCCATGATTACCCAGTATATTTCCACTGCAAACAAATATATAATTTGTTATGTGGCCCCAATTCGTCCAACAATCAGGCATTTTGCACTTATCAGTGTTATTGAGGAGGCCGGGGATATCAACTGTGAAATTGAAGTATGTATGGTACTGGTAGCCAGCCAACTTACTCAAGACCTGTTTATATGCAGGGCCTGTTACCTTGCCAGATGACTATTCCAGTTAATATTAACCCATTGAGTGGCATTAGTGAAATCTTCTGGCATTAGAGTAAAATAATAAAGTGGGCTGCATTGTCACTTAAAGGTTTAAGTAGCACTCAAGTTTCTCACTTCCCAGTGTATGATTTTCCCTTGATATGGTTTTCCCCTGACATGGTTTTCCCCAGCACTTTGTTTATATCAAACCGCCTGCCAGGTATAAACTGACATATTAATACGAGGAAACAGCTGTTCATACAAATCTGGTTTGGTGGAGTTCGTCGGTTAACCGAGTCAAATCCGAGTCAGATGTCCGAGTCATTGTTTAATCGACGGTCTTTGCAGTTCAATGACTTAGTACCCTAATCCTAACCATAATCCCACCCCTAAATTCCCATAACCCTATTCAACTATGAATTTTATTCATTTTGGGAGTTTCTTGCTTACTGACCGACTCAAATCGGAGTTCGAGTGAAATGTCAGAGTCACTGTTGTTTAACTGTCTTTGTCGGTAAAATGACTTAGTACCCTAAGCCTACTCCTAAACCTATTCGACTGTGAATTTTCTTCACTTTCGTCTTTTTTTTTACATGACTCAGGCGTTTGACTCGGGCTCGAGACTGACTCGGACTCGGATTTGACTCGGGAAATGGATTTACTCTGGTTTGGTGTTAGATGGGATAAATATTTGGTCATGCAAACATTTTCCCAAGGTGAGTTGGGGTTATCAATGCAACCCATGAATACAATTTTACTTTATGCAATACAATACACCCCTTTGAAAATTATGTCATTTGGACTGGGAGCCTCGTTCTCATGAATCGTGTGCCAATCAGCTTGCATAATTTACTAATGAGAGTGAGGCTCCAAGATCAAAAAGTATGTGTGACATAATTATCAAAAGGGTGTATTAGAGTGAATATGTGAGCATATGCAGGGTAAGTTGCTGTCAAATAAACAATTTATTGACTATTTTTTCCCTATGGTGGGTAATACAGCTGTATATAAACAAGGACAGGTCTCAGGACTGTTATGTAACTACAGTACCATATGTTCAAACTTGCTGGTTTACTTTACACTTGAAATGTAACAGTTTGGGATATTGCAGTTTACTGTATAATTCTTTGTGTATTCCAAATAGCTTTTTATAAAAAATCTTGCCAGTGATTATTTTATAGTGTCTATAATAGGTTTTGGATAATTACTGTATGGAAAACAGTGTTCAATTTAATTGTTGGAATGTAATATTGTGCTAATTTACGGAATAGGTGAAAGGGAGGGGGCTATTAGAAACCATACTTGTATTTTTTTTTGTTATGACATCATTGCCTATTTTTTATGTTGAACCCACTTTAGCATAATGGCAAATGGGAACTGCTTGTATAATGCCTGCTCCATAGCAGTTACTGGAAATGATAACGATGTTTCAGTTTTATTCCGTTGCCTCACCAGCATTGAATTATTTTAAAATGCTCCCTACTATGCCAACCATCCTGTCATTAAGTCACAGCACGACAGAGGCACGTTCACTTCGCTTAAAAATGCCTTTGCAATGTGCTTGTCTGATACTGCTCTTTCGGTTTTTGAAAAGCTTGATTCCAATGCAGCGGTTATTGAAGAAGCCAGGAACAATGCAAACAATTACGAATTTTCATCAATGATGTGCTTTTTTGCGTTAGCATCCGTACTTGGTTGCACTATAGAATCATATTACCCGATAACCAATGACTCCGCTCCAAAACAAGACTGGGACTCTCTAGCAAAAATGTTCAACTGCACAGTTTTTCCAAGGCAAGATATTGATGTTAACCATATTAGAAAAAGTTCATATTTTCCGGTGTGCAGCTATACCACAACGATATTTAGTTGACCGTCATATGCCTATAAGAAAGAATCATTATGTTCTCTTGTGCCAACCAAATGATGATATTGAACTTGGTGAAAATTACATTGAAACTAAACGACTTTTGCTGCCATATTATGAAGCTAAATCTATCCCCACGTCTTCGTCTAAAACATTTTCAACTCATGAAACAAAACGAGACAGCAAAGCAGTTGCTGCTAAAAGAAAACAACTGAGTTTAGATGCGTTGCTCCCAAAGAAAACCATTAAGACGTCCCACCAACAGGTAGCCTCATCAGTGAATATGTTACCTTCCACAAGCTCATCCAGTGAAAGTGAAGCTGTGAAAACACTCGCTGCAATCCCACCAGAAATAACAATACAAAATAATACTCAAGGAAATAATCCCAAAGATATATTTAATTTCGTAAACAAGAGTTCTTCTTTGACCGATGCTGAAAAGTACGAGATCTTTACTAACACTTGGAAACCTGAATCCACTTACAGTTTTCCTCCCGAAAACTCATCAGGAAGACGTTTCCAGTATGGATGGTTAACACTTTTTCCATGGTTGGCTTATTCTGCTGCTGCCAATGGTAGCTTTTGTATCAACTGTGTCCTATTTGGCGGTGAAAGCACGCACAACACTTCGAAACTGCAAAGATTGATGACTTTACCTTTTATCCCTTCTACATCATCAATAAGCAAGTTGACACAGCACGCCCATAAATCGAAAGTTCATGAAACAGCAACCATCCGAGCATCGGAATTTAAACGCATAATGGAAAACAAAACAAAACCAATCGACGTCCAAGTTAATAATGCTCGTCGAGAGATTATCAAAAGGAATAGAGTTCGACTTGGCACAATCATTGATACCATCATAACCTGTGGTAGACAGAATATCGCACTCCGAGGTCACCGAGATGATTCCCAGTATTATATAGATGAAGACGTAACAAACCCAGGGAATTTTATCGAGATCTTAAAGTATGGTGCAAGGTGTGGAGACTTGATGGATGAACTGTTCAGAGATTGTCCTTCAAACCAAACTTATCGTTCCAAAACCATACAGAATGAAATACTGGAAATATGCGGTGAAATGATAACCGAAATACTTGTTGGCGAAGTTAAACAAGCAAAGTTTTTCTCTGTACTAGCTGATGAAGCAACTGATTGTTCTAATGTTGAACATATGACAGTAGTCCTACGATTTGTGGATAGTTTATTCAAAATACGGGAGGAATTCCTTGGTTTTGTTCTGTGTCAGAAAGGTCTGTCTGGGGAAGCTTTGGCGCAAGAAATTTCTAATTTTATCAAAAGCATTGGACTACGTATGGAAGATTGTCGTGGTGAAGGGTATGATGGATGTTTTAAATCTTTGCATCGCCTCTTCTTGCCAAATACCAATAATTCGAGACATGATGGATAACATCCGTAGTGTGTCCAATTTTTTTAACGACTCGCCGAAGCGCACCCCGATTTTAAAGGCAAAAATCAATGAGATTATACCTACTGCAAAACAACAAAAGCTGCTGAATGTTTGCCGGACGAGATGGATAGCAAGAATTGATTGGCTGAGAATTTTCAGAAACTGCTACGTCGCTATTCTCGCAGCATTAGAAGCGATTAACAAAGACAGATCTAATGAGCCAGATGTACGCCAAAGAGCTGTTGGTATGAGAAAAGCGATGAAGGAATTTGAATTCATCGTCTGTCTTGTTCTGGTCGAGCGTTGTCTGAAGTGCACAAAGCCATTGACCCTTCAACTTCAATCTGCATCACTTGATGCTGGGAAAGCTCGGGAGAAAGTGTCACTCTTATATCTAACGATAGACAAACTTCGCGCCGACATTGATCAAACCCACGATACCTTCTACCAAATGGCAGTCAATTTGGCCAAAGAAGTGAAGATTGATCCAAATAAGAGAACGATAGATCGTCAAGTGCATCAGTCAAGTGAATGTTCCAGCAGATACTACATCCGAATATCATAAACGAGCCGTAACTATCACTTTCTTGGACCAACTTCTTGGTCAAGTACAGTCTCGGTTCTCTGAAGGAAATTTGGATATTTTAGATATGATGTACCGAATGCCGAATTTGGTTGTTTCTGATCCCGACTGGGAAGAGAATTTCTTACACTTCTTAAGGAAATGCGAAGATGATCTACCAGATGTCGACTTTCTCGAGTGCGAGTTACGCATGTGGAGACTAAAGTTTTCCAACCAGGAACCCCCTCTTCCATCATCGTTTGACCAACTTCTTTCCAAAACTGATGCACTTTCCTTCCCAAACATTCTCACAGCTATGCGCATATTTGGAATGATTCCCGTTACGACCTGCAGCTGCGAAAGATCTATTTCGACACTATGACGACTGAAAACGTTTATGCGAAGCACAATGGGTGAAAAACGTGATCACCATCATTAACATCACTGGCGTTGTTGAATGTTCATCGCGAAATCAAACTTGATTTAGACAAAGTAATTGACCGTTTTGCCCTTAAACATCCAAGAAGAATGTTGTTGATTGATCTTCTAAACAGCGATGACACTGTAGATGATTAAACAAAGCGTTCTGTAAAGTGAACAATTACATTATCAAAAATTCTGAACATTACTAAATTATGCATCGTGTTGCTGTTTCAAGACGGCAACAAGAATACATTTCCCTTCCTTTTCAAGATTATAGAGAACACTCGCTAATACTTATTAGACTTTGCATCGTGTTGCTGTTTCAAGACGACAACAAGAATACATTTCCCTTCCTTTGCAAGATTTTAGAGAACACTCGTTAAAACTTATTAGACTTTGCATCGTGTTGCTGTTTCAAGACGACAACAAGAATACATTTCCCTTCCTTTTCAAGATTTTGGAGAACAGACATTATAAGTGCCCCATTTATCATTCGAGTAACAGGCGATTTTTTAAGTGAAGTGCACGTTCACGAAACAAGATAGCCTGCTATCATATAGTTGTCACATGTATGTGTTAAGATCAACGACTATGTACCTCGTCAACCCTTAATTTCCCTTGTGCTGCTGTTTCAAGATGAATTACCAAAGAAAATGAACATTTCTACTGTTTCAAGATGATTTACAAATGAGCACTTACTTAAGTATGTACCTTCGTACCGCTGTTTCAAGATGGTTAATAGTGGACATTTACTTTGTAACCTTCGTGTTGCTGTTTCAAGATGATTTACAAAAGAATATTTACAGTGTTTCGCCATCTTCGTGTTGCTGTTTCAAGATGATTTGTAATGAACATTTTTCTAATTTCCTTCGTGCACCTGTTTTAAGATGATTTACAATGAACAATGTTTCTTACTGCCGCTGTGCTACCAATGTAAGGGCGTATTTACATATGTTGCAAGATGCTCCCCTAACTCCACCATTGCCGGTCCCAAGCCCGGATGAAAAAGGAGGAGGGTTGGTCATGGGGAAGAAATGTCACCTCGTAAACCCATCCCCTAAAAGACCTGCGGAGCAACTGAAACGCTGAAGTGAGTTCGATGTGCTCAGTTGCGAAAGAGGACTTTTCTATGTCAAGACACAACACGATTCCTGGAGCAGAAACTTGAACAGTGAAACCAAGAACCTGAAATATGCAAAATAAGTAATACAGCAGGGAACAAAGTGTGAGATTGGTCTTATGTATCTATGTAAGTAAAGTGATTTGTCCTCTGATGTTGTACCATTCACTGGAGAAGAAGGTATGATCGAACATTTTTCAGTTATTTTGTGATTTTTGTTACGTTTCGTCTAAAATATGGCACTATTAAGGCCAAATTTTAGGACAGAATTCGATACTCAGAATGCTGAAAATGCCATTTCCGGGGTTCAAATTTCAAAAATTTTCAGGGGGGCATGCCCCCGGACCCCCCTAGCATTGCGAGTGTCAGTGCAATGATACGGTCAGATTTGAGGCTGGATCCGCCCCTGAATGTAGTGTTTGAAATGATGTAGATTTTTGTAGAAATGATGTAGAAATGATGTAGATTAATAAACAAAGTAGACTTGTATATAAGCATGCGAGTGTGAAAGCTATAGAAATTATTTATATGGTGAAAGTTTTTCAAGCACAAGATTAAAAACTTTTCCAAGCTATCAATACAACGCATTTTGGGGCTGCCAATGGTCTCAAATGGTAGCATTTTCTACAGATCGATTAATTAAACACATTTCGACTTTACCTTCCCAAAACACCGATTGAAATATTCCAGTTCCACTTAACAAATATAAAACATTTTCCGTGTTGATATACAGTTATATCAACACGAGTGGAAATTGGGAAAACGAGAAATTGTATGGAAACACGACGCCCGAAGGGCGGAGTGTTTTCACACAATTTCGAGTTTTCCCAATTTCCACGAGTGTTGAAATAACTGTATATCAATACGGAAAAGATGTTTTATATTTGTTTTATAATATATAGTCTAGGACCTGTATAGATGTTTGTATGCGTTTCATTTAGCACAGGTAATCTCAACTGTTTTAGGGTAAAATGACCATGGCGGTCAACATGGCATATGTGCCAAAACCTGAATCCGGGGCGAAAGTCCTGAAAATGAC